CAAATATGCCCCATTGATTTTTTAAAAGAAATTAAAAAAATTTTTTTTAACTTTTAATTTTTTTGTGGGGGAGGTAATTAGGTTTTTAAATTCATTTTTATTTTAATAGAGGTACTGGGGATTGAGCCTAGGACCTCGTGCATGCTAAGAACACATTCTACCACTTAGCTATACCCTCCCTCTACCAATTGATTTTTGACAGGGGTACAAAAGCAATTCAATAGAGGAAAGATAGCCTTTTAAACAAATGACTGTTGAAATAAATTTCTAGGCCCAAATGGAGCCACCCCTGCCCATGGTGACACCACAGCAAATGGAAACTTAGATAACCTTCATGCCCCTGTAAATGCTCTGCTTCATCAGAAACACAATATATCCAGTTAGCCAATCCCCAAATGCCAAGCCATCTCAGGGCTCTACACTTATTTCTGTTCCTTCTCACCCCAAACAGGGTTGACTATGTGGTTCCAGACAATCAGATATTTTCTACTTTTCTCTTACTTGTTCATTATTCTTTATCCTATAAAAGCTTCCTGCCTTTTGCCCCATTTTGCAGTTTTCTGAATGGCTACTGTCTGCTTCATGAAGTGTTAAGTAAAGTTTATATCATCTAAATTATCTTCTTTAATCATTTTTAAAGTCATGCTAAAGCAGCTGAACATATGTGGGCAAAACAAAGAGTCTTTACCTAAATATCACACATTATAAAAAATTAACTCAAAATAGATCACATAGATAAACAAGATTATATTGTATAGCACAGGAAAATATATACAAGATCTTGTGGTAGCTCACAGCAAAAAAAAATAATGTGACAATGAATATATGTATGTTCATGGCTAACTGAAAAATTGTGCTGTACACTGGAATTTGACACAGCGTTGTAAAATGACTATAACTCAATAAAAAATGTAAAAAAAACTTGTACAGCTGTAACTTATGTAATACTGTACAACTCACTTCAATTAAAAATTATTAAAAAATAAACAAAAAATGGATCACATATTTGAATGCAAAACATAAAACAAAACTTTCATGAAAAAACGTAGAAGAAAATCTTTGGGACCTAAGGTTAGGCCGAGTGTTCTCAGACTTCACATCAAAAAAGGAAAAACTGATAATTGTGCTTCATTTAAATTAAGAATGTTCTGTGAAAGATTCCATTAAGAGGATGAAAAACAAGCTACAGAATGGGTGAAAATATTGGCAAACCACATATCTGACAAAGGACTTCTATCTAGGGTATATAAAGCATGCTCAAAACAACAGCAAAAAAAAAAAAAATCCAATTAGAAAATGGACAAGAGATATGAAGAGAATATGCAAACGTCAAATAAGCCCACACAAAGATGTTCAATGTCATTAGCAATTAGGGAAATGCAAATTAAACTCACAACAATGTTGAATTGTATGAATTGGTTATCTATTTTGGATATTAACCCCTTATCGGTCATACTATTTGCAAATATTTTCTCCCATTCAGTAGGTTATCTTTTTGTTTTGTCAGTAGTTTCCTTTGCTGTGCAAAAGCTTTTAAGTTTAATTAGGTCTCATTTGTTTATTTTTGCTTTTATTTCCTTTGCTTTAGGAGATGGACCCATAAAATATTTCTACAATTTAAGTCAAAAGTGTTCTGCCTATGTTTTCCTCTAGGAGTTTTATGGTCTTCTGTCTTACATTTAGAGCTTTAATACATTTTGAGTTTATTTTTGTTCATGGTGTTAGAGAATGTTCTAATTTCATTCTTTAACATGTAACTGTCTAGTTCTCCCAGCACCACTTATTGAAGAAACTGTGCTTTCTGCATTGTACATTCCTGCCTCCTTTGTCGTAGATTAATCGACCATAGTGCGTGGGTTTATTTCTGGGCTCTCTATTCTGTTCCATTGACCTGTGTCTGTTTTTGTGCCAGTACCATACTGATTTGATTACTGTATATATAAACAGCTCATACAACTCAACCTAAAAAAAATAAACAATCAAATTGAAAGATGGGCAGAAGACCTGAATACACATTTTTCCAAAGAGAACATGCAGATGGCCAACAGGCACATGAAAAGATGCTTAACATTGCTAATCATCAGGGAAATGCAAATCAAAACCATAATGCGGTATCACCTCACACCTGTTAGAATGGTTATCATCAAAAAGAACACAAATAGCAAATGTTGGCAAGGCTGTGGAGAAAAGGGAACCCTTGTATACTGTTTGTGGGAATGTAAATTAGTGCAGCCACTGTGGAAAACCACGGAGGTTTCTCAAAAAACTAAAAATAGAGCTACCACATGACCCATCAATTTCACTCCTGGGTATATATCAAAACAAAAAACAAAAAAACACTAATTTGAAAATATACATGTACCCCAATGTTCATAGCAGCATTATTTACAATTGCCAAGATATGGAAGCAACCTAAGTGTCCATCAACAGATGACTGGATAAAGAAGATGTGGTATTTATACACAAAGGAATACTAATCAGCTATTAAAAAAGGATGAAATTTTGCCATTTGCAACAACATGAAGTTGGAGGGTATTATGCTAACTGAAATAAGGTAGGCAGAGAAAGACAAATACTATATATCACTTATACGTGGAATCTAAAAAATACAGCAAACTAGTTAACATAACAAAAAAAGCAGCAGACTCACAGATGTAGAGAACAAACTAGGGTTACCAGTGGTGAGAGGTAATATAGGGATAGGGGCATAAGAATTACAAATGTATAAAATATGTATAAAATAAGCTACAAGGATGTGTTGTACAACACAGGGAATATAGCCAATATTTTATAACTATAAATGGAGTACAACATTAAAAAATTGTGAATCACTATTTTATACACCTGTAACATATATTACACACCAACTATACTTCAACAAAAAAAGGAAAAAAAATCACAAGAAGATATTACTTCACACTTATCAGAACAGCTAATGTTAAAACTAGTGACAACATCAAATTTGTGAGATGCAGAAAGACTGAATCATTCATACATTGCTGGTGAGAATGTAAAATGGTACAGCCATTCTTGAAAATAATGTCAGTGTTTTTAAAAAACTAAACATACAAATACTCTATAACCTACCAATTGCACTCCTGGGCATTTGTCCCAGAGAATAAAGATATGTTCACACAAAAATCTGCAAAGGAATGCTTGTAGCAGTTCATGATAGCCAACCCTGGAAATAGCCTAGACATCCTTCAACATGTGACTAGTTACAGTCAAACCACAGGATACTACACAGCAATAAAAAGAAACATTGATACACATGCACTCAACAATGTAGATGAATCTCTGGAGAATTATGCTAAGTGAAAAAAGCCAATTTTACAAAGTTACATATATAATTCTATTTATACAGCATTCTTGGAATGACAAAACTATAGAAATGTAGAATAGATTACTAGTTACCAGGGATTAAGGAAAGGGTAGAAGTGAGAGGGGGAAGAAAAGGGCATGGCTATAGAAGAGTAAATGGGGAATTCTCAGGAGGTGATGCAAATGTGCTGTATCTTGACTGTATTATTGTCAGTACCCTGGGCGTGATGTCATACTAGAGTTCTGCAAGATGTTAGGGGAACCAGGGTAAAGGGTATATAGGATCTCTCTGTGTTACTTCTTACAATTGTATGTGAATTGGCAATTATCCAAAAAATTTTAAAATGTAATTTAAAAAAAAATCAGTAAGAAATTATGCCCCTCCCCCCACCACCCTGTGCAAACAGTAATAGTTCTTATCAGAGGAAGATTTACTATGAAGCTAAAGGTGAGCTTCAGGGTCCACCTGCACAGACCCTGGGAGTCCCAGAAGTTCCCTGGGATTTGTAATCAGTGTTCTAATTGGGGTGAAGCCAAATTGCAACCGGAAGCATTTTTGATATATTGCCAAAGAGGTTTCAGAAGAAAGAGACCTAAATTTCCAAGATTCCATAATTGGGTATTTTTTTTATTCTAAACCCTAATTTTAACGTGTACCTAATTTCAGAGGGTCTCAACAAGTACTTAGAAAAGTTTCAGGCCCCACAAAACTTGGCTCTTCCCCTCCTTACCATAGCATGGTGACTAAGAACAATGACTGTGGAGCCAGATTGGCTAAATTCAAATCTGGTTATTCTCACTAGGCATGTGATCTTGGGCTAGCCTCTCAATCTGTTTCTTCATCTGTAAAACAGGGACAATAATAAGCCCACCTCATAGTTCTGAGCATTACATGAATTATTACATCTAAGATGCTTAGAAGTGCCTAGCAGTAAATGTTATGTGTACACCTTTCTTATTATTAATGAGCACCTAGATTGTGCCTGGTATTCTGTTCAGAACTTAAAGCACATCAACTTACCTAATTCTCAAAATAGCCAAAATATTAATATAATACACATTTTAGGTATATAGAAACTGCAGTTTCGAGAGACTGAGTCTATAGGTGGACCGAGTGTATAGGATTAGGTCTCACTCCAACACCACACTTCCACCAACATGGTTTTGCCTAGGAAAGGAAGCTTTCTTCAAGACACTCCAGATCTTAAAATCACGTACCCTGGGGGGCTTTCATTGCCCAAGCCGACCACGTGGAACGTACTCCGGGCGGTAAGACTCCCTCCACCCTAGGCGGGGTGGGGGGCGGCATCTGTCTCCAACCCCAGATCTCCGTTCCAGATCCAGCACAGACACATGCTGCCTTTCCCGGCCTTCTGCGCTACTGGTGGGCAAGCCCTCCGCTGCCCTGTCTGAGGCAAACCGTCGCTTCAGTTGCTACGGGGTAGCTCACCGGCTGGCGGGCCCTGCTCGCCCCGCCCACCTCGCCCAACCGCTCCCGCCACTACGGGCCCCGCCCTTCCTCCTAAGCCCCACCTCCTCATCGGTCCGTTTAGCCTCTCCAGCTCCAGAGCCCAGGCCTGTCGGCGGCCGCAGTACTAGGCCCGCCCCCTTCCTTGGGTCGCGAGCCCCGAACGTATCGAACGCAGCCAATGGGTGGTGCGGCGGCGGCACCGCGGGAGGTTCGATTGACCCGGCCTGGCAGGTCCGGGGAGTCCTGGCGGCTGTTAACGCGCGCTTTAGGAAGAGGAAGGTTAAGGCGGAGTACTTGGGCTGGGATTCAGCTCTGCCGCTCTTTCCAGCCGGTCTTGGGACTCCCAAACTAGGGTCTTCTACTTGTCCTGCCTGGATCCCTGTTCGGCCTCCTTCAGTCCCCCATCCGCACTCCGACCTGGGAAATCCCCTTCTCCGGACTCGCCCTCCCCAGGCCTCGGATTTTCACTCCAGCCTCTCTCCTACCTGTGATTACCCTTTCCCCTCGCAGCTACTCTTTGCTTTTACGTCCACCTGGGGCCATTATCTCGACTCCACTCTGCCCACTCTGGCACTCTACCTGCCTCTTCCCCCGTCCCAGACCTCTACTCATTTCTGCTTGGATACTTCTTTTTTGGCTCTGCTCTTCTGCTTCGGCTAACTGGCGACCTACACTCACAGTTTGGACCCAGACCTCAGCCCCGGCTGGATTCCCTCCATCCATGCTCCTTCTTTAATTAGCCCATGCTCTCAATAATGTAGCAAGCAGCCTGCTCTTTATTAGGCTGGTTCCACGTTTTCAGCTGTTGGCTGATGGGTACTTGACGTTTTATATTCCTGGGCCCAGGATGGTAAGTATGGGCCTAAGAGAGGCTGTGGTCTAACCTGTGGCGGAATCTAAAGAGCCCAGTTTCCGTTCTCCCCTTACAGAGGAGGAGCCTTGCACCCAGCCAGCTGGCCAAGAGAAAACCGGAAGGCAGACCCTCTGATGAAGAAGACTGGCAGCCTGGAGCAGTGGTAAGTGCTCTGGCCTCAGCGGGTAGGTAAGGTGGAGGTGCAGGACTGTTGAGGCAGGAAGGAATCTTGGACTTGGTTTCTGGGGTTACATGGAATGAACCCTGTCATCTCCAGAAGCCTCTTCCAGTGTGTCAGGCAGAGAACCAAACAAATAAAATCCTTGTCCTTAAGGTGTTCACTGGAAGCTAATATGCCTCAATTCTCCTTGTGGGAAGAGGTATGCCAAAGCAAAAGAGATGATTGGGTTGGGCCTTTTGGCTCTCGTTGGGGAGAAAAAGGATCTCCAACAGCAACTAGCAGCCTGCTGTTTTGCTGTTTGTCATCTGCCCAGTGTCACAGAACAGTAGAATGTACTGGGCCTACCTTAGAGGCTGAGCTCACATGGGCCTAGATCAGAGGGGTGGTGCCCACCAGTCTGTGCAGATACTGAAGAACAGTAAGTTCAACTTTGGTCTGGCCATGTGCTTTGCTCCCTGCCTTCAAGACTTTCTGGAGCTGGCTGTGGGCAGGACCTATGTAACCAAAACCAACAGGACAAAGTAGCATGTACTTCAGAGAGGGACAGGGAGAGAGATGTTCAAGAAGCAGGGGCTTGGCCACTGGAACTTTGGAGGAAGAAGTTAGCTAAGGATGGTTTAGAAGGCAATCTTGTATGTGGGGCAATGTGTAAGTAAAAGTATGTAGAGAGAGGGGAAGGGGCTTAGTGTTTGTTTCAGGTGTGCCTTATAGCTTCAGAAACCTTGGCAAAGTGTGTTCTTGCCTGATGGCCCCGGGGGACTTGCTCTGTAGTTGTACTGCTGGTATGCAGGGGGCTCCTCTACCTGTGAGGGAAGCACACTGGCTGCCCCTTGCCACTTAAGTGGGTCTCACACTTGAACTTGGGGCAGCACTTGGTGCTGTCTGCTGCTGGTGGCTCCTGAAAATGCTTTCGGTGCTGGTGTTCTCACTGCCACAGTGTGAACTGACTAGAGAGTGACTTCAGTGGCCTGGTAGTTGGGAGCAGCTGTACTCTTGTCCCTTCGTTGGTTAACTCAGGGAGGGAAGCAGACAGTTGCTCAGTCATTCCTTGGGGCTTTTTGAGTGAAGATTTGGGGGCAGCGTGACTTCACACAACTGGTAGACTTGCGCTTCACAGGCCCGCATCATTCACCTCTTCCAGTGCCCTGCCTCAGATTAGGCAAGTTCTTTAATCTCTAATCTCTAGTTTTCTCACCTGTTAAATCAGGATAATAATAAACATTCATTCTGGGGTTACTGTGAAGATGGTACATGATAATACATACGAGGAGTTTAGCACAGTGCCTGGCATTTAATAGGCATTTTAAACGTTAGTTACCATTGTGGTGAACTCACCTTCCCCAATTCTCTCTCCTAGACACCTAAGAAACGGAAATCCAGCAGTGAGACCCAGAGCCAGGAGTCTTTCTTGTCTCCTTTTCGGAAACCTTTGACTCACCTAACAAATCAGCCACCGTGTCTGGACAGCAGTCAACATGTAAGTCCAAACTGCAGCCTGCTGATGTGTATGCGGGCCCTGTTTTGTCTAGGGAGGCAGTGCCTGAAGACTCCCGTAGTGCTCATACAGTAGCCAGCCATAGCTTCCAGGGCCTGGAAAAGGCCTGGCCTTTTCTCCTTAGTGATGTGTGTCTGACTTGCAATTCCCGTTGCATATAGCTACTTGGGCACCAGGTCTCAGGTGGCTCTGATTGCTAAGGACAGGAGAGTGCAGGGGAGTGAAGGCCATGGCAGGGTGTTGGAGCCAGTAAGAAAAGTAAGCCTCTGGCTCTGCACATGGCTCTATGAAATACCAGAGTCCTGTAGCTTTCACGTGTATCCTCTAGTAAAATCAAATGTAATCATCACCATGGCAGGGTCTGTGTGTTACCTCATGTAATTCTCATTTCTTAAGATGAAGAAGGAAGCTGAGTCTTAGAGGGGTGAAGTAATTTGCCCAAAGTTACAGCAGAGTCAGATCTGCCTAGCTCCAGTGAAAGCTTTTTCCTCCAAACTTTGAGGGACCTTGTGACACTGAGCTCCTAAAACCCTTGGAATTTAAGTGATAAGAGTGATAAAGGTGTCTTCTGTTATTCCTAACAAACCCTTTTCAGCCACATGTGAATTTGCTAAAGAGATGACTTTGTAAAGAACTTAACCTTGGGGGCTGGTTCCCACGGGAACCAATCCACCTATGGCCAATGTTTAATCAGTTCTGCCTCTGTAAAAGACCGCCTTACAAACCCAAAAGGCTTGGGAGGGTTTGGAGAACTTCTAGGTTGGTGAGAGGGAAGCTGAAGTCGGGAAATGGCACATCCAGAACTCCACTGGGACCGAAGCTTCTGTGCTCACAGTCCATCCAGGCCTTGTGCTGTGTAACTCTTCCTGTGACTATTCATTCATATCTTTTAATACCCTTTGTGATAAACTGGTCTTCTAGTAAGTAAACTTTTCCTGAGTTCTGTGAGATGCTTTGGTGAATTAATTGAACCCAAGGAGAGGATTGTGGGAAATTTGATTTATAGCCTGTAGGTCAGAAGCACCTGGACTTGAGATTTGTATTTGAAGCAGTAGGGGAGGCAGTTGTATGGGGCTGAACCCTTCAGGATCTGATGCTTTTCTGATGGTGTCAGAATTGAGTTAACTTGTAGGGCACCCAGGTGGAGCTGAAGAATTGCCTGATGTGTGGAGAACCCACACACCTGGTGTCAGAAGTAGTGTAGTATTGAAAGTAAAGGAGACACAGGGGCATGTTTTCCCTTTACAGGGATGTTTTTGTTGATGGGAATATGTAATGGAGGTGAGTTACTTGTGCATTCAGCAAACAAAAACATTTTTACCTAATATTTGATAAATATGAAAATACATTGTATAATATGTATAATGGATATAAGATATAAGACAGAATAAACGCCTGTGAACCCACCATCCATTCAGGACTAGAACATTATCAAAGTCATAATCCATTTCCCCATTCCCAGAGGGAACCACTATCCTGAATTATATTCATCATCCCTTGTTTTACCATGTGTGTATAATTCACTAAGTAATACATTGTTTAATTGTTTATTGAGCTTTAAAAAAATGGTGGGTAGTCCTCTGGAAGTGTTTTTATTAGGATTCATTTTGTTACCCTACAGAACCATACGACGTAATTCATGGTGGGAGTACACAGCAGGGGGCCTAGTGGTCTGGAGGCTGGTGGAGATCCGAATCTGGAGACATGCTGATTAGGTCGAATCCTGAAGGGTATGAGGAGTCTGCCAGGTGAAGAGAGTGGGAAATGTTCTAGACAGAGGGAACAGGCTGTGTGAAATCTGTGGAGGAGTGGTTCCCCAAAGGCAAAAGTGCTTCAGGCCCACAAGTCAGTGCAGCCCTGGAGATGAGGACTATAGCCTTAGGCACAATGAGTTTTAACTTCTGTAGGATGTCTAGGTTTGGAGAAGGGGGCAAGTGTGGGATGTGGAACCTACGAGGAAGTTATGGACTGGAAATAGATTTGGGGTGATTGGCATAATGATGTTATTTGACACCTCCAAAGTGTATTGGAGTGTCAGGGTAAGTGTATAGTCAGAAGAGCTTAGGGCCGAGCCCTGAGGAACACTGACTGTTTAAGGAGGTGAGGCAAAGGATGAAGAACCCATAAGGGGACTGAGTGTGAGGTCCCAGAAAGGTGGAATAGAGGGAGAGTTTTGTCATGGAAGTCAAAAGCAGAGAGTACTTGAGAGGAAGGAGTGGCCAGCTTTGTCCAGTAAGACAAGGTGGAAACATATCCATTGGAATTAGGGCCACTGGTGACCTTGGCCAGAGTCATTTCAGAAGAGTGGAACGGGCAGAAGCTAGATAGGAGGAATAGGAGATAAAGAAGGGGAGACAGAGAACTCTTTCTAGAAGTTTGAAGGGGAGGGGATAAGAGGTCAAAGGAGGTTTTATTTTTAAGATAGGAGAGAGTTAAGCATGTTTTAAATGCTGGTGAGAGAGCTGGGAGAGAGGGAGAGGTTGAGATAGGGAGAGATCAGACGGACCAGATAGAGCAAATCTGCAGAACAGGGGAGCTTTGACCTTGGTGGGGAGGAGGGATATTCTCCTTTCTCTTCTATCAGAAGGAAAGGATGGTATGAATTTTCAATAACTAAATGAACAAAGTGAGAGGATGCTCTCTTTTCTGCCAGAATCTATTGAGTATTACCAGGCCAGATTCTCAGAGGTTGGCCACTGCAGGTCTTGCAGGCTGTGCCCTCGGGTTTTTGGCCAGGGGTCCTTACATTCTTCCACAGTAGTTGCACAACCTGCACTTTTGCCTGCAGAACCCGTGGCTCCTGGGTTTTAGAAAATAATATTTCAGTTTCAGAATCGAAAGCAGCATTGATGCCAAGTTAGAAAGGAAATTAGAGTCCATTTCCTCCCTTTTCCTCTCATTGGACTTAAGGGTAGCTTTTTAGCATCTTTCATATGAGTTTCTTATCATCATCGCTATTCATTATTATAATAATCATGATAATTAAAAATAGTCAATAAAAGTTTATTCAGCTGCAAAGAAATATGCAAATAAAGAGTTTGGGCCCTTCTCCAACCCTGCCTTTGTCATGTTATTCAGTGTGATAATTAAGTTCAGTTATCCACATGTTCCTTTCTACCTTCCAGTAGATTGCCAAATGTATTCATTACATTTTTCCTATTTAAAGTACATTGAGTTTCTAGACATTTAATTTATAATGATCTATACAGATATGGGTCAGAATAAAAAGGTAAAACTTAAGGGCAAGACAGGCTTGCTTTTTTTCCCCTATTAAAATACCTTTTTGCTGGAAGGGAGTATTTTTCGTTACTTCTTTTTCCACTAATGTATTCCATTAAAACTACCTTTAGGGTTTCTGCTTTTATGGTTTCCTTGCTCTCTTGGGTTCTAGCTCTTATTTTGTTGAGGTTCACAGGCTATTGTAATTCCCAGAGGGCTCAGGTGTGAATAGACCAGGACTCCAATGGGAGTTAGCTCAGGAACTGGCACCCCCGCCCATCCCCATAGCCCAGTGCTGATTCCCAGTGCTAAAGTGACGGCACAGAGGCTTGGTGGAGGCACCAAGGCCACCCTCCTAGGGACCTACATATGTCTGCTTCTTGTCACCCTTGTCCCTTGCTTTTTCTTGGTGATTGGCTTGCCCTCTCTCATGTCTCCTTTCTCATATTGTTCCCTCTCTTGTGCCTTCCCATGGCTGCTGACTGACTGATCCACATGGCTGTCGTCAAACAGGTTGGATTAGGAAGACATATTACCCACTTGTTATAAGTAAGGGCTCTGGAATCAGGAAAGTTCTGCAAATGTCATGGCTGTATGACTTGGGAAACTATGCAGCCTCAATTTGCTTATCTGTAAAATGGGGGTGCCAGTAATACGTGGACCTCATAGGGCTGTTAGGATTAAATGGTAACACGAATGCAAGGGCTTAGCACTACATCTGGCATGGATTGTTTTTTTGTTTTATATTTTTTGGTTGAGTATTTTTGTTGCATGTGGAAAAAGCATTCTGTTTTATTTTATTGACGTATTGTCAGTTTATAACGTGTTAGTTTCTGGTGTATAGCATAGTGGTTCAGTTATACATATATACCTATTCCTTTTGATATTCTTTTTCATTATAAGCTATTACAAGGTATTGAACATAGTTCCCTGTACTATATACGGTAGGACCTTGTTTTCTGTTGGTATACATTGTTAATTTACATCATTGTTGTCATTTTTGCTTTTGTTGTTAATACTATTTTACTAATACTACTGCTCCTATTACTTCTGCTACCACTACTCTTTGAAGGGCTGTTTAGTTTCCAAGGAGGCTGATGTGATCATCGACATGGGAATTAGATGCAATAGGCAGAACTGATTTGACAAAAAAAAAGAGATGTAAGGGATGCTTGGGAAGATGTAGCCCTATAGGACAGTGGTTAAATACAGACATCGGAGTTCTGTTAGTACTGGGATTGGGTAAGTTTATGGTGCTTTCTCAAGGTGCTGCAACCTAGGAAATAGTTAGGTGTCCTCACTTGGCACGGTCTTTCATGAGCTAATGGGTCTGAGCCTTATAGTTGACCAAGGCTGGGTTCTTATTTGGCACTCTCTTGTCTCTGGGAATTTGTGGAACCTTATGCAAGGCCTCAAAGATGAAACCCACTGTACAGAACCTAATAATCGAATATGGAGCACATCTCCTTGTGTTTTAGATGCATCTGAATGAGGCATAATGAAAATACCATGCTCTGAATGTATTATGCTTGAATAGGCATTTTAGACTGCATTTGTAAAATTATTGCATAACATCTCTGATCAGTCCTGAATCTCTGTTTCTTCTCTTTTTAGGAAGCATTTATTCGAAGCATTTTGTCAAAGCCTTTCAAAATCCCCATTCCAAATTATCAAGGTAAAAATGGAAACTTTTCTGTTTCTTGAATTAATCACATGTGAATGTACCTGAATCGTTAAGACCTCTGCTTTTGTAAGTACAAGCTTACCTTGGAATTGAAGATACCAGTCCATTGATGACTGTATGGGGTGACCCTCCTGGGATCTGCGTGAAGTCTGTTTGATAGCTTCAGCAAGGGCTGTCAAGACTAACTGCCCTTCATCTTCTTGGTGGGGCTGTGCCTGGTATTCAGGTAGCTCCTGGACTTTATTCAGTCCAGGTGAGTTCAGTAGCATTTCCTTTATGAAACTGACTCTGTCAGGCCTAGGTTCTACAGGGTTTCCCCCTGCCCTATGCAGGGCATAGTATAGTGCTGAAACGGGCTGGGAGGGAGGAGGCCAACTCTCAAGAGCTCTCAGTCTTGAAAGGCTCGTTTAGCCTTCAGACCTTTCCAGGATTGACTTGATCTGAGATGAATAAGACCTGGCCCTCCAGAAGTTTGTAGTTGGATGGGAAAAGTAAAATGGGAAAAACTCTGATCTGAAGCAGATTGGGATAATGGTCAGTTAGAGATGCCCGAACTGTATTTGGGGAGGTTTTGGGAGAGAGGGTTGTATGGAAGCTTAGGAATGGTTAAAGGAGAGGCATTTGAACTGGGCCTGCTGCAACTCCTCAGCCTAGAGGCTCAGGTGACAAACTTGTTTCTAGGTCCTCTGGGCTCTCGGGCATTGGGCCTCAAAAGGGCTGGAGTCCGCCGGGCCCTCCATGACCCCCTGGAAGAAGGTGCACTGGTTCTGTACGAGCCTCCCCCACTGAGTGCCCATGACCAGCTGAAGCTTGACAAGTATGTGCATGGGTATTTCTTCAGAAGTTCTGGTTTGTAAGTGCCCAAACCTGGAGGGCAGAGGGCATTGGTGTGATTTCTCCATGGGACTGGCGTGTTTTCAGAGTGCTGTCAAGGCTACTGTGCCATCCAGAGAGTGGGTGGGTGGGGAAGGAAAGTGCCAGGAAGAGCATGTGGACATGTCTAGTTGGTGGGGTTCCTCACCCATTCCTGCCAGGCTCACTCAGGGAAGCAGTAGGGGTTGAGGTCATGATATAGGGAACCCGTCCCTGTCTCCTAACTTCCTCACCCTGGAGAGGAATTTGCTATGGTTTGATTACCAGGCCAAGAAGGTCCTCTCTTAGGTGGCTGCCTCAGGATCAATGGGACACAAATTTCTAAAGGCATGCCTTTGCCCATGTCTGAGCTCCATGTTTTCTTTGCTGTGTTTTCTCAGAGAAAAACTCCCTGTCCATGTGGTTGTTGATCCTGTTCTCAGTAAGGTCTTGAGGCCTCATCAGAGAGAGGTAATTGGAGGAATGAAGTATGGGCTAGGGGCTGGGCCTGGGAGCCTGTTGTCCCTGGGGCAGCAGCAGTGTGGATGCCAAAGTGCACTGAGTGTTGTTATTCCCCAGGGAGTGAAGTTCCTGTGGGAGTGTGTCACCAGTCGGCGCATCCCTGGTAGCCATGGTTGTATCATGGCTGATGAGATGGGCCTTGGCAAGACGCTGCAGTGCATCACATTGATGTGGACACTTTTGCGCCAGAGTCCAGAGTGCAAGCCAGAAATTGACAAGGCAGTGGTGGTGTCGCCCTCCAGCCTAGTGAAGAACTGGTACAATGAAGTTGGGAAATGGCTTGGAGGGAGGATCCAACCTCTGGCCATCGACGGAGGCTCTAAGGATGAGATTGACCAAAAGCTGGGTAGGAGCCTTAACAGACATGTCTGCACTGCTCCACACAATCTGCTCCTTTCTTGTGTGTATCCTTACTGATGGCTAGGGTTGAAGGCAGGGAGTGGGTGGCAGAAAAGAGAACACCCATTGAAAAAGATTTGAAGTAGTTATTTCCAGGCTAAATTAATCATCAAACTGGCTTCTTCTTTATGACAGTCTAATATTTGTCCCCTTGACACTTTTTCTGTTGTAGAAGGATTCATGAACCAGCGTGGAGCCAGAGTGCCTTCTCCCATCCTCATCATTTCCTATGAGACTTTCCGCCTTCATGTTGGAGTCCTCCAGAAAGGGAGTGTTGGACTGGTTATATGTGATGAGGTACTTGCCTCTCAGCAGTCTGGAGAAAGTCTGTCAATGTTTTCTCACAAAGAACTGCCATCCAAGGGCTGGGCCAGTCACAGGGGATGCTGAAGACGGAGTATGCTGCTTTGGAGGAGGCAAATGAGAGGGAGAGCCAATGGTACCAATATACCAAAAGAGGGATTAAGCAGTGCTTGGAACTCCAGGAAGGGCTGATTGGTTTTGTTACCTCTAGACAGTACTCCTAAACCAAAAGACTTTGAAAGGCAGGAGGGATTTGGATGGGTGGAGAGACATGGTACAGTGTTTAGAGGAATAGGTTCTAGAGTCAGAGATCTTGATTCAAATCCTGGCTCTGCCACTTACCAGTAATATAACCTTGGGCAAGTTACTTAACCACCTGAGCCTCTGTTTCTGTGTCAGTAAAATGGGGTGATAATATCTGTCTCATGGGATTATTGTGAGGGTTAAATGAGGTGATTGAGGGAAAGCTTTTATCACAGTGCCTGGTATGTCCTAAGACCTTGGTAAATGTTAGCTCTATTTTTATTCTAGGCTGGGGGTACTTATGTGAACGGAAGCACAGAGATAGGAGAATCCAGTGTGGACAGTCCATACACGTTATGAGTCTGTGTCAACTCTCTGGAACTAAGGGAAATACGGCAGTAGTTACTTCCTGGCCTTTTCTAAGCACTCTGCATGAAGGGAAAGGAGTGAAGGTGGCTGGGAGCTTCCCAGTATAAAGAATTTCTCAGGTCTTTAGGAGATGTGGCTACCCTGAGGCTGCTGCCATTGTTTGCATCTTGGAGAAAGTTAAAGTCACTGCACACCCCTGTGGCTTTAGTGGAGAGGTGGCTGAAAGACTTGGTCCCATCTGTCAACTGATTGGCAGGCTTCACTATGCTCTAGGGACTGTAGAATCCTTACTTTAAGGATATAGTATTGGTCTAGAAGCTGAGGTTCTGTCTCTTAAGCCTGACATTTCTCCCCTAGCAAGTAGGTAGGTCCTAAAGTCCCAGGACCTGTAATGCTTATGATTCCTCTTTTTCTGTCTGTTACTTTGTTAAAGAGTTTGCTACTGTCAAGGAGGCCACATCGTGCACAGGCCTAAGTGAGAATTAATTTCCTTGCAGGGACACAGGCTCAAGAATTCTGAGAATCAGACCTACCAGGCCCTGGACAGCTTGAACACCAGCCGGCGGGTGCTCATCTCTGGGACCCCCATCCAGAATGATCTCCTTGAGTATTTCAGCTTGGTACATTTTGTTAATTCAGGCATCCTGGGTAAGAATCCAGCCTTGTCTGCTGCATTGGAAAGGAGCCTTGCCTTGGCTATGGGAGTGTAACTCTGGCTGAGGAGTGAAAGGAGAGAACACTAGTTATATATATTTGGGTCACTAGGCACTCTTATAGGAAGACTTCTCTTATCAGGGAGTAGCAGAGCTGTTGGGAGACCGTGACTTTGCTGAGCAACTCAGCAAGACCCACTCTGGCTTTTTTGGGGCAGGGTGGGCAGAGGTGGCAGGAGCTGTGCAGGACGTGGTCACCATGAGCTGCGGATGGAACTACTACCCCCAGGCGTTTTTGCTCATTGCATCCTAGCTGCCTTACAAGAGCTTTAGCCTCAGAGCGGACTCTGTCTTGGGTAGTTTTGTTTTTAATCATTTTTTAGTGTACAATTTAGTGTCAGTAAGGACATTCACCTTGTTGTGCAACCATCACCACTGTCCATCTCCAGAACTTTTTTCATCTTGCAAAACTGAAACTCTACTCGTTAAGCATTAACTCCCCATTTCCTAGTACCCCCAGCCCCTGGCAGCCACAGTTTGGGCAGTTCTTGCACATAGATATCTGAGGAGGGGTTTGTTAGTGCCACCTCAACTTACCAATGCTCACGGAAGTCACTTTAGGCAGAGAACCAGATGAGCAGATATTCACAAAGTGAACACGTTGATGTAACTACTGCCAGATCAATTACTACCCCAATCTCAGCAGCCCCCACTTCTAATCACCACTCTCCTTTTTCCCTAGAAGTAAACACTCTTGACACTCAAGATTGATTTTTGCCTATTTTGAACTTTACATAAGTGGATTCATACAGTGTATTTTCCTTTGCTACCTGGATTCTTTTGTTCAGTATTATGTTTAGGAGACTCATCCATGTTTCTGCCTATAGCAGTAGTTTGTTTTTAATTTTTGTATATTATTTTATGACAATACCAGAATTGATCAGTTCTACTTACAGACAATTGAGTTGTTTCGAGTTCTTTATTCTCGAATAATGATCCTGTGAACGTTCTTATACCTGTTTTTACCTGAGCATGGTATGCATTTCTCTGTCAAAAGAATGAATTGCTGGGTCATATATTATACATGTGTTCAGCTCTAGTAGATTCTCCAGTTTTCCAAAGAGATTGTTCCAGCAGTATATGAGAATTCCAGTGTTTCTACATCAGGGGCCAGCAATTTTTTTCTTAAAAAGATTATATAGTAAATATTTTAGGCTCATAGGCCATACTGTCTATCATAACTACTCAGCTCTGCTACTATACTGTGAAAGCAGCCATAAATTGTAAATAAATGAGCATGGATGTGTTCTAATAAAACCTGATTTACCGAAACGGGTGGCTGGCCAACAGCTATTGTTTGCTGACTTCTGCTCTGTATTATCACCAATATTTTTAGAAAAAATTTTTTAAAAATTTTAGTCCTTATGGTTGATGTTTAGTGATATCTCATTTCATTTGCCTAGTGTTGCATAAAAGTTGAACACCTTTTAATATATTCATTGGCCATTTGGAGGTCCTCTTTTGTGAGTTGCCTGTCCTTTTTTTATTCCTGGCCAAAAGAAAAAAACCCTATGCTCATTAAATAGTCATGCCCTATCCCCACTTACCCCCAACCCCCAGCAACCACCAGTCTGCTTTCTTTCTCTGTGGATTTGCCTATTCTGAGTATTTCCTATAAATGGAATCATATACTATGGAACCTTTTGTGTTTGGCTTCTTTTTACTTAGCATAATGTTTTCAAGGTTCATTCACATTGTAGCATGTTATCAGTACAGATCTTCCTCAACTTATGATGGGATTACATACCACTAAACCCATTTTAAGTTGAAAATATCTTAAGTCAAAAATGCATTCAATGCCAAACATCATAACTTAGTCTAGCCTACCTTAAATGTGCTCCGAACACTTACATTAGGTTACAGTTGTATAAAAGCATTGAACACAAAGCCTATTTATAATAAAGTATTGAATATCTCATGTAATTTATTGAGTACTGTACTGAAACTGAAAAACAGATTGATTATATGGGTATAAGTATATTGGTTATTTATCCTCATGATCATGTGGCTGGCCCGGAGCTGCGACTGCTACCTGGCATCACAGAGAGAGCATGGTACCATGTACTGCTAGCCTGGGAAAAGACCAAAATTCAAAGCTTGAAATATGGTTTCTATTGAATGTGTGTCGCCTTTGCACCATTGTAAAGTCAAACCATCATGAGTCAGAGACTGTCTTGTACTTCATTGTAGTGATACATGCTATTTCATCTCTTACAAGCAGCATGTATATAGATGAGCTTTACAAAAAAAAAATCCAGTCTGACATTATTTGGTCCATTTACATTTAAGTAATTAGTTATATGTTTGGGTTTCAATCTACTGTCTCACTAATTGGTCTTTCCAGTCTTTGCTGATTTGGTAGCTCTCTGATCATTCAAATGGAAATTGCCTATAATTTGTGTTCAGCTTTGTTCTTGGCAGGAAGGTTGGTCTGTAGCAAAGATTGGTCACTGGCAGTGTATCGTTCCTTTTCTACATTCTTTAATGCTTTAACCTTTCCTCCTCTCCTGTGCTTAGGAACTGCCCATGAATTCAAGAAGCATTTTGAGTTGCCAATTTTGAAGGGTCGAGACGCAGCTGCTAGTGAGGAAGACAGGCAGCTAGGAGAGGAGCGACTGCGGGAGCTCACCAGCATCGTGAACAGGTAATGGTGGGGGAGCTGGGCTATACAGCAGCGCTTCTTTTTGGGTCCCCTCAGATTAGATCATCAGAACTGCCCAGCCTTTGAGGCCTTGGCCTGTGAGGGCTGGATTCTAGGAAGGGAGTGAGATCATGACCTGACAATAGCCACTGGATAAATGAAAGCGTCTTGCAGGCCAATCCCCTGCTTTCTTCCTGGCCTGAGCCCTGTGGTTTGGTTTAGGGCTGCACAGCATCCTACTGAGGAAGCACTTTTCTGATGCTGGACTTCATGAGCAAAATATCCCTTGGAGTATAGTTATTACTTCAGAAGCTTCTTATCAGTAGGTCTCAGATCCAAAGCACTAGGCCTCCTCCCCACACTCCTCAGCCTTTTGTGACGGGTTAAAGTAGATCTGAAGAATGGTTGTAGCTCCCGGACTGACGAGGCTTTCTCTATGGGGGCCACATAGCTCAAGGGGCAGGTACATTCTGGACTCTGTCATAGTTAAATACACACTTGATCATTTACATTCTGAAGAGTCATGCTCTTCCGAGCTGCCACTTTCCTCCCGGTTTTAGATGGCAGGAAGGAGTCTGTGTGTTCTAGGAGCTGCTTCTTAGGTGCCCGATCCTTGTCCTTCCTGGTCTGCTGTGTGGTATAGGTATAATTTCATTGAGCTTTGGTCCAAGTGGCAGCAGGCATTTGGGCAACTGGAAGCAGAAACTCCCCTAAGAACTCAGTGTTTGAAACTTGCTTTCCCTGTCAGAGCACTGTATTCAACAGGAGACCTCAGCCTTCTCTTGAAGACCAGCTAACCTTTTGAAGGGGAAGAGAAAGAGTTGTCAGTTTAAGCTAGATGTTTGAAAGGGTCTCCTCCCATGACTGAGACCCTGATATAGAAGTCTTTGCTATAGGGCTGATGGGTCTCTGACATTGACTACTACAAAAGAGAATCAGTCTTGGTCCTTTGGGTGGTAGCTTTTATTCCAGTAGTTAGCGTGGCAATTTTACCAGTCCGTTGCTTTTTATCCTGTTCTCCCCAGGTGCCTGATACGGAGGACATCAGATATCCTTTCTAAATACCTGCCTGTGAAGATCGAACAGGTGGTTTGTTGTAGGTACTGAACTCAACTGAGGGGTGTGGAGTGAGTGAGTAAAAGCCCAGCGCTTGAGGTATGGCTGGGCTCTCAAGGTCTCCTTAGAGGGCAGAAGTGTGGTCCAGCACTTCCCACTGACCCAGCTGCTTTTTTTCTCTTTTTTTCAGGCTGACACACCTTCAAACTGAATTATACAAGAAGTTTTTGAGACAGGCCAAGCCAGCAGAAGAGTTGCGTGAGGGCAAGATGAGTGTGTCTTCCCTTTCTTCCATCACCTCCTTAAAGAAACTATGTAATCGTGAGTTGGGTCCATGCTCTGGCATCCTCTGGGAGAGTGAGCAAGGGATGTAGTCCAATCACCTTCACTAAAACTTGCCCAGGGTCCTCATAGAGGCCACATGTGACTCTCCCTCCCCAAGACATGAGCCCTGCATTGTATACTCTGTAAACCAGACACTTGGCTTTGGAAAATTTAGCTTATCCTTTGCCTTGCCCATGCTTGATGCTTGGATATATAAGAAAGTGTGTTTGAGTGTGTGCACACACACGTGTGCATATAAAATGTTGGACAGGAAGAAAAGTAACAAACTTTGACCTCTCTAGTATAGCTCCCCTCTTATTGTGAGAATACAGAGCACACTGGTAAGCAAGACTGTCCACTCATGATCCCAGATGCCATTGACTACACACTGGAATTTGGAAACAAACAAGTCTGGTTCTGAGGAAGTTCTTCTGGGTAGGCTTCTAGAGGGTGTTCTAATAAACTGAAGCTTCCGAAAGCAATGTAGCTAGCATTTTGGATATTTTTTTTTCAGATCCAGCTCTGATCTATGACAAGTGTGTGGAAGAGGAGGCTGGCTTTGAAGGTGCCTTGGACGTATTTCCTCCTGATTATAGCTCCAAGGCTCTAGAGCCTCAGCTGTCAGGTGAGTCCTTCCCTACCAGTCTTTGGGCTCCCCTGGGAGGAAGGGTGGGTGGTTGCCTCTTTGTGCAGACCTATCCTGTCTCAAGGCAGGACATCAAGAGTAAGAATCCTGGGCCATTAGGGTGGCCCTTTGGGGTTAATGGTTGCTGATCTCCTCAGGTAAGATGCTGGTCCTTGATTACATTCTGGCGGTGACCCGAAGCCGCAGCAGTGACAAAGTAGTGCTGGTGTCCAATTACACTCAGACACTGGACCTCTTTGAGAAGCTCTGCCGGGCCCGAAGGTAGGAAAGAGCTACAAAAGGGGTGCCTCCCCTACTGTCCCCCAGAAGTAGGTATTCTAATTGGTGGATCTGGGCCACGATGTGGATTCAGGAGGGACTTCCCAGGAGAGGTCTATTCCCTTATTGCTGCAATGGCCTTAATTCCATCTCCAAGCAGAATAGCCCCCCATCCTTCAGCTACTCTCACAGGACAGTCCTGATTCTTAGTTCCTTGCCCCTCCCTTTGGGAGTTTATGGTTTCAGGCTGTATATGAACAGCTTCAAACACAGTTAAGTATTAGTTCAGTCCCTTCAGTAGCTCTGGCTC